ACTTCGTAATCAAACTATCTGCAGCCGATAAAATCCTGTATATAGTTGTAGTAACCGCTCAGACTTAATGATCTTGATCAAATAAGTACGTGGGCAAGTCAGTGCTTGGTAAATTCCAACCCCACAAAAACCAAATGTTCACTCTTCAGCAATAAATGCAATCCTGTCACTCACCCGTCACTTTACTTGGACAATGAATGTATAAAAAAAAAAAATTTAATAGTCACAAGCATCTTAGATACACTTTTCCAAAAATGGCCACTGGAAATTACATGTTCATTCAGTTCTTCAGAAAGCATCTCAACGTCTTCATATATAAAGAAAGCTCGAGAAAATTGCTTGAAAAATTGTATTTTGCTTTTGTTAGGCAGCTTCTCGAATTCAGGATAACATATCCAGCGATCTTATCGATAAAATTAAACAAATTAAAGTCGAAGCTGCAAGTTCGTTTACAGAGCATTTATTAAGAAATTGGTTGGGAGATTTAAAGGGAAAGTAGATACAAACATAAAATAATACAAGTTCACAAATGGTCTACGGTCAAACTCCTCAGTAGCATTCAAATCTATTCCACCGCCAAACCAAGACATTTACAATTATTCCACTAGACAAAAGTGTCACATTCAACAAATCAAATGTGGAACAGATAACTCCTTCATCCCATCAGCCATCAAACATTAGAACGAATTGCCTGACGTTATCAAACAAAATCTATCACTATCAAATCTTAAAAGTTATTTAACTGTTAATTGATAATGCAAAGTGTAAACCTCCTCAATATTTTTGGACTGGAATACGCAGGGAACAAATATTGCACACAAGATTACGACTTGCATGGCTGAGCGCACTGAACAGTCATCTGTTTCACAAAATATTATAAATAGCCTTAACTGTAACTGTGGCGAGGTTGAAACCTCAGAGGATTTTCTTTAGCTTTGTCCTAATTTTGAGAGCCAACAAAATAGATTTATTTTCTCTCTTCCTCATAAAATGAACATTAATGTATTATTATTTGGTGATTTTAATTTTCCACTAGCAGAAATTATTTCGATTTTTAAATCAGTCCAGAAATATATAATATTTAGTAGCTACTAAGAGATTTGCATAGGTAATACCCCCGTCCCAAAGTATTTATAAACAACTTCAAGCGCTTTGTTATCCTTAACATTTTTTTTTCTCTGAATCAATATCATTTTACTATTTTTACATTAAAAAAATTACTCTTTTTAAATCCTACAATTTTTTCTCTATTTTGTCCTCTTCTACGAATTCCATTATTTAGTTATTTGAAAATTAAGTGCACTAATCTGCACGACCCAATATGGATCTGTAACTTCAACAAATTATCAGGAGACGGATTAACATAAGTTTTTAAACTTGTTTCCGAATTCTGTTTGATATTCACTAGATATTTATACTGTGTGCTTTTCACTTTCAAATAAATATTGTTTAAACTTAATAACAAACAACAAAAAGGAGCACAAGGTGAGTGTAACTGGTCGACAGTGGATGCGTACACCTCCATGGCACCTATTCCGGCCTCTGATGTTTTTGTCTGTCCATATTGGCTCTGCTGTCGATTTTTTGTATTGTTTAATTGGACTTCGAGCATGAATATTATTCGTTACCTCCATATTTCATGAGGAATATTTACAGATATCCTTTTGATTTCGCAAGTCTTATCAGCTCTATTTTTTTTTTAAAAAAAGAACAAAACAGTCGTTAAACATACATATTCTCAACGGTTGCTTGTATATAATTTTCAATAATTTCCAAAAATGTTCTGAGGCTTTAAAAATAATGTCACCACAATGCTGATTTTTTTTTTTAGGTACTGATGAAGGGGGCTCATAATAAAACAGAAATTCCTTGATAAGCAAGCTTATCAATTTATTCGATTAAAGAATGTTAATGGTAGGGAAGCCCATTTATATGCAGAAGCCCATTTAGGACCTATCAAAAACATTTTTGAATTCTATTCAAGGAATTGTGGACTTTGTTATAACGAATTTAAATCTTTATGAGAATTTCTGAATTTGCAATAACGAATTGAATTTTTGATAACAGATATGTTGAATTCGTTAAAAAGAATTTAACATTTGTTACAACATATTAAATTCGATATAACAAATTCTAAAATTTGTTATTACAAATTAAATTCGTTTAATTACCCACAGCAATCAGGACCTTTAGAAAAATGTATATGAATGTGATATAACGAATTGTAAAATTTATTTTAACGAGTTTAATTTGTTATAGATAATTTTTTAACTCGTTATAACGAACTCAAAGAAATTGTTATAACGCTTCGAACTCGTTTTAACATATTCTATTGAACTTTTTAAAAATAGAGACACCACAGAGTCTGCCACATCTTCTTCATATCTATATGTTTTACAGATTAAACACGAAAAGGGCCAGCTAACAACTACATTGTATGACAAACGAGATTACTTCAACTTTTCAATCGTCAGTTTCCTTATTTATGGATGCTCACTCCTCCATGACACCTGATTTTACCTCTAATGTTTTAGAGGTCCGTATTTAATCTGCTCCTGTTTTGTATTGCTTGAGAAGACTTGAATGGACATTTGAGATTAAATACTGTTTGTTACCTCCATATGTTTCATGTAGTAATATCCCTCTATCACCTGCATATGGGGCTTACATCTCCTAACTTATCCATGAGCATGCTGCGAATAATATCAATTTTTAAACCGAGGTAGACTACAGAGAAATACGTCAATGTTTCAGGGTTTTCAACAATCTCGATTGAAGTCAGCATTTCGTAAGTGTAAGTTTTATGGTCGTTAAAATGACCTTGTTAGCAAATGCAAATATAACCTATCATTGGGTCATATTTTAGCTGACTTGCTTCAAACCAATTGTTAGCCCTTTGTTTTTAAACTGAATTTGACTACGGAATGTTCCGTCACCTGATCAATACATAGGACTCATGGCGGGTGTGACCGGTCAACAGGGGATGCTTACTCTTCCATGGCACCTGATCCCACCTCTGGAATTTCCAGGGGTCGTCTTTTATGCCCTCTTCACAGATTTACATTGTTTATAGATTTTATGACATCGATCTTTGTTCGTAATCTTCACCTTTTTCATTCGTTATATCAACTTCAAAAATATTTTTGATGGGTTCTTAATAGGCTTCAGTTTCACTCTTTTAGGACCTACTGTACCAAAAATAAATTTGAATTCGATATACCAAAATGTCAAATTTTTAAAACGAATTTAATTCGTTATGTCAATTTTTTAAATATTTTTAAATTAAGAATTTAGTCACTTTTTACAAATTTGTGGATTTTTTACAATGAAATATGTGGAGATAACGAACAATATTCGAGTTCAAAAGTCAATTAAACATTACAATACAGGAGCAGAGCAAACACGGACCTCTAAGATATCAGAGGTGGGATCAGGTGCCATGGAGGAATGAGCATCCCAATCCGACCGGTCACACGCACCCTTTGCTCCTCGTCATGATTGTGAAATAACGGTAAAATCAGTACAATTCATTGTGTAAATAATGGCGTAACAACTACTATGAAAAAATTCGGTCAGCATTTGACTTAATCATAGATTGTATTTGTTGACAAGGTCATTGTATCGACAATAGAACTTACGAAATGATGACTTTAAACGAGACTGCTGATATTCTTGTTTCATCAACTTGTTTGTAAATAACTTACCTCGTTTTAGAAATTGTTCATACGTAGAGCATGCTCTTGCGTATTGAATCAATTCAGAGATATAAACCCCTTATTCAAGTGATATAAGGGTACATTGCTGCATAAGTAAGGGAAGTTGACGATTGAATAATTAAAGTCATCACGTTTTTCATAAAGCTTTGCTGTTAGATTACCATTAATGTCTTTGTCTAATAAAATATGCAAATATGAAACAGATGTGTCAGACTCTGTGGTATCTTTTATATCAAGCTCAGTGGGATATATCGTGTCGACATAAGAATGGAAATAACCATTGTTAATTGACAATCCGTCGTCGATATATCTAAATGTCGAGTTGAAGATCACAATTTCAACATATCTTTTATTTCAAATTAATTTTGCTATAACGAATTCAAAATAATTCTTTCTAGCGAATTAAATCCGTTTTGACAAATTCGACAATTCATTATATCGAATTTTAAATAAAATGTTGATAGGTCCAAAACTGGTTTCCGTATTATAGTGTATGACTGTTGAAGGAATTAACAATAAACACCCATTACCAAAGATTGCAATCGCAAAATTTAAAAAATGAAGGTAAGATGATACCAAAAAATGTATTCCTTGATTGGTATATATTTTTGGACCTATTTTTGTTGAATTGATGGAAATATTACATTTCAAAAATATTAAGAAATTGTTTGCTTTCTATGATGATCAAAATTCAACCTTTCTGAAATCCCCAAGATAAATCAATACAGTTTTTAAATCCTTTTATAATACACTAATGTGAAATTTTGGATGAAAAAATAAAACCTTTGCGTTTAAACTTGTTTATTTTACTTATATACACATGTCAAGATCTCCCTTTTTATAATTTAAAAAAAAAACTTTGTTCGAATCATCTGTCCTTATAATATAAATGTCAATATATATGTCAATAAATGTCAATATATATGTCAATATAAAACAGACATCATTAATTCAATGATTAAACAATTAAATTTGTCTCTACTATCTGACGTTTTTAATTTCGAAAGGAATAGATGTTAAGATGTGGCATTTCATGAAATATAATAATCTTATATTAGTAACTTCTTTCCAAAAATGTGCATCTTTCAAAAACATCCTACCTCTTTCATCATTATAACTTCGTGGGATTTTCATCTTATCATCTTAATGATATTTTGTATGATTTTCTCAAAAAACATGTTATTTGATCGTTTTTGTTGCTATGATAATTGCAAATATGAAAAAAAAAAATCGGTAAGAATTTATCTCAATTACTGGAAAAAAAATACTCCTACCTGTCTGTTGGCGCCTTCTACCTTCTACCCGATCTGAAAATAAACAAAACAGATACTCATCAATTTTAATGCAAACTATGAGAATATTTAATGAAAATCCGTGTTGATAAAAATGATATAATGGGTTTTTTTTTTCAAAATTGTCTTAATGAAATATTGAGAAGCTTTTAGATATAAATGGAAGTTATCTGTACAAATGGGAAAATACTTTTTGTATATCATAAAGCACAAATACTATACATTTATGATAAAAAAAAAAATTAGTGACTAAACACCATGTTTCGTAAATGCTGAATAAACTTTATCAATGTTTTTGTCGTTTTTATAATTGTAGGCAAAAAAATAAGAATAATCTCAAAGCATTACTTTCAAGTGTTGAGAAAAATGTCTGCATGGGTGTTTCCCATGCAACTTTTATTTAATATGAAAGACAAAATAAAAAAAAATAACACCATTGAAATTCACTCTCTGAGAATAAACACAAAATGATTAATAAAAATTCATAATTCTTGCTTTCTTCATCAGGTAATTACAAAATGAATACGTTACCTCTCACGGGTTCATCTAACACCGAACTATAATCTGAAAAAATATAATAATGTAAAACAAAAATGAGGATTATTTTTGAATTCATATGAAGCAGAATTTATTCTAAAACTTCTACATGAGAAGTAGAAATCAATTGCTGAGGCCTTAATCTAGACATTTAGATATATCGACGACATATTATCAATTATCAATACTTATTTCCATTCATATATCGACACGATATATCCCAGTGAACTTGAAATAAAAGATACCACAGAGTCTGGCACATTTGTTTCATATTTGGATTTTTCACCAGGAAAAGGCGTTAATGGTAATCTAACAAAAAAGCTTTATGATAAACGCGATGACTTTAAGTGTTCAATCGTCAACTTCCCTTACTTATGCAACAATATACCCTTATCACCTGCACATGGGGTTCATATCTCTGAATTGATTCAATACGCAAGAGCATGCTCTATGTATGAACAATTTCTAAAACGAGATAAAATTTGAAAAACAAGTTGATGAAACAAGAATATCAACCGTCTCATTCAATGTCATCATTTCGTAAGTTCTATGGCCGATACAATGACTTGAGCCAATACAATCTATCATTAAGTCAAATGCTGACTGACATTTTTCAACCTCATTGTTAGACCGGCCATTATTTACAACTGAATTGTTGACAGATTTTTTTTTTCGGTTATCTCCAGATCATGACAAGAAGCACATGACGGCAGCTGTGACCGGTCGGCAGGGGGTGCTCACTCCTCAATGGCACCTGATCCCATTTCTTATGTTTTAGCGGTACTTGTTTGTTCTGCCCCCGATTTGTATTGTTTAAATGCACTTTTAAGCTTGAATACTCTTCGTTATCTCCGTATATTTTGTAGTACATTGTTGTGATATTTTGAATGAGAAAATGAAACCTATACCTTTAAACTTGTTTATTTTACTTATATACACATGTCAGAATCTCCTTTTTATAGTTTTTGAAAAAAAATTGTTCGTATAATCTGTCCTTAAAATTATCTAAGATCAAAATAAAAAGGACATCATTAATTCAATGATTAAAGAATTAAATTTGTCTCTACTATCGGACTTTTTTAATTTTAAAAAGAATAAATGTTAAGATGAGGCATTTCATGAAATATAATAATTTTATATTAGTAACTCCATTCCAAAAATGTGCATCTTTCAAAAACATCCTACCTCTTTCATCATTATAACTTCGTGGGATTTTCATCTTATCATCTTAATGATATTTTGTATGATTTTCTCAAAAAACATGCTATTTGTTCGTTTTTGTTGCCATGATAATTGCAAATATGAAAAAAAAAAATCGGTAAGAATTTATCTCAATTACTGGGAAAAAATACTCCTACCTGTCTGTTGGCGCCTTCTACCTTCTACCCGATCTGAAAATAAACAAAACAGATACCCATCAATTTTAATGCAAACTATGAGAATATTTAATGAATATCCGTGTTGATAAAAATGATATAATGGGTTGTTTTTTTTTCAAAATTGTCTTAATGAAATATTGAGAAGCTTTTAGATATAAATGGAAGTTATTTGTACAAATGGGAGAATACTTTTTGTATATCATAAAGCACAAATACTATACATTAATGATAAAAAAAATTAGTGACTAAACACCATGTATCGTAAATGCTGAATAAACTTTATCAATGTTTTTGTCGTTTTTATTATTGTAGGCACAAAATAATAATAATCTCAAAGCATTACTTTCAAGTGTTGAGAAAAATGTCTGCATGGGTGTTTCCCATGCAACTTTTATTTAATATGAAAGAAAAAATAAAACAAAATAACACCATTGAAATTCACTCTCTGAGAATAAACACAAAATGATTAATAAAAATTCATAATTCTTGCTTTCTTCAGACAGACAGTCATTCTTTATTTCCTCTATAGTATAGAGATTGGTTCTATCATATTGAAAAACATTTAAGGTCAACAGTGCATAAGTTAATAATATATGTACAGGTGCAGTGAAGACAAAAAAGTTTTTTTTTTCACATTGAAATTTCAAAGAGTTTTTATCTTTAACTATAAAAGATTTTTCATGGCCTTCAGCATTCCTGTTATGCCGGTAGAAACCGACAATATAAAGGTGGTCCATTCATCTTCTGAGATGATTCCATCTTTTCTAGACCCCAGAAGATTATTGACCATAACAGTTTCGGACTTGTGCGTGAGATCGACATATATATTCACTGATAGGCAGTTTACAATCAGGGTCATAAGATTGTCACGGCTTTTAAACAGATTTGGACAGTCTAAGATAAAATGTAAGAGGATATCCTGTGTACTTTTTTTGTACAATTTGCACACTACTTCTTCCGTCTCATACGTAATTGAAAGATTTATGAGTTTGAATAGTTTCCAAGTAAAATTATGGGTGCTGGAGGCTAAGCGTCCACAGTGGATGGGGTGTAAGTTCTTGATGTATTTCCGCGAAACGATTTAGTTCTGGTCGGCCTCCAAGTGAGATTCTCCATTCATCATAAGAGGAAAGGTTTATACGATTGCTGATGTACTGATTCCAACTAAGTTTTGACGGTGTTTCTCTATTGATGAGGTACTCGCTGAAGAAGTACTCTATATTGTTACTTTTCATTATTTTATAACTACAGTCTATAAATCCGCGTTTCTTTTGAAGTGTATTATCAGAGAAAGAACACAACCTTGCAATAAATAGACGCTTAAAAAATATGTGTAGCTAGATCTACAAAGACGGTTCCAGAGGAGTAGCTGATTCTTCTGAATAATTTTTTCCATTTTTATGAGTCCCAACGAGTATATAGTGCATGGTGATGGAGACTGTCGATCGAATCCTTGAATCCTACGTGCCTTAATCTAGACATTTAGATATATCGACGACATATTATCAATTATCAATACTTATTTCCATTCATATATCCCAGTGAACTTGAAATAAAATATACCACAGAGTCTGACACATCTGTTTCAAATTTTGATTTCTCACTAGGACAATACGTTAATGGTAATCTAACAAAAAAGCTTTACGATAAACGTGATGACTTCATCTTTTCAATCGTCAACATTCCTCTCTTAAATAGCAATATACCCTCATCACCTGTATTTGGGGTTTATATCACTTAGTTGATTCGATACGCAAGAGCATGCTCTACGTACAAACAATTTTTAAAACGAAGTAAGTTTTTCCCAAAAAGGTTGATGAAACAAGACTATCAGCAATCTCGTTTGAAGTAATCATTTTAAAATGTTTTCTGGTCGCTAAAATGACCTTTACAGCAAAAACAACCTATCCTAAGTCAAATGCTAGCTGACTTTTTATACTAATTGTTAGACCTTATTTAGACATTGAATTGTCTACTGATTTTTCCGTTATTTCCCGATCATGACAAGAAGCATGATCGGCAGGGGATGCTCACCCCTCCATGGCACCAGATCCCACCTCTGATGTTTTAGCGGTCCGTGTTTTCTCTGCTCCTGATTTTTATTGTTTGAAGAGACTTTTGAGCTTGAATACTGTTCGTTATATCCATGTATTTTATAAAGTGTTTCACATGCATATTCTTAATAGTTGCCTGTTTTATTTTAATAGTTTCCAATATATATATTCTCAATGGCTTGCGGAAATTAAGTCATCACAATGCTGTAATATCTCAGTATATGAATAGTGCTCTTGACGGTTCAGTGTTAAAACACTTGCTTTCGATTGCGATGGAAGTTTCTCTCGCAGCGAGCCCTACATTAAATTCTCATTGAGAATGATAGTGAAATATAACTGATGAGACATATGTATTTCTGTTCCAACTTTTTATATTTCTTAGAAACGCAAAATTACAAGAAACATCATAGATATATAAATTGATAAAATATATCTTAACCGAAGAGCTTTGTTCTTAAGACACTTACCGTGCTTACTAGCAGAAGAACTCGATGTCCACTCCATTGAGAGTGTAATAGTTCTGTTCCATTCAATTCTTACAATAATAGGAGCATAATGTTATTCTTGTCCTGTAAAGAAAAACATAATATATTCTGCATTATAATAACTACGTCACATTCTTGGATCACTATTAAATTCACGTTAATCTCCAATTATCTGAATAAATAAGAACTACTTTCGTTTTGATATCACCTCCGGAAGTAGGCTTTTTGGGGCTAGTGCGGCCAAAAGCCGATTGTCGTTCCCTCCAAGGGATGAATCTACTTGTAACTTCGTAGAAGATGTCGAATTATTTGTAAATTTATTATCAATTTTTTCATTAGATTAAATTATTTCATTTGTATAATAATATTAAAAAAGTTATACTTTTTTGACCCAGACGCAGTAAAGTGTGACACAGATAAATTCCTATTACGTGTCAAAAGAAATAGCACGCCTATTAAAGTTATTGTGATTTGAATTCAAGACACGTATTACATCAACTGGGAGATATAAATATGGAACGCCTCAACTGATTTATGTGGATAACTTTCATAACATGTTGTTTCTATAACATTATGTGCTGTTACTTTAACATTATGTGTTGATACGTCATGATGAGTCTCCAATACAGGTCCTTGAAGGACCTTAAAATTCTTATGGTTTCTTTTTTTATTTTTGCACTGGTACTCTAGATTCCTAAATTAATTATTACATCTTTAAGCCTGTTGATCTAAGAACTACGTACGCTAACTCCGGATTCCCGCCTACATTTTACCACCATTTAATTCAATACTAATGGAAATTTTGCCTTAAAATCTTTGTTGAAAGCAAAGAAGAGTTCAATGGTAATTGATTAATAATTTTAATACCAGTGTTAAATAGTTAATTACTCTTAATTCCAGCTTTTTTTATAAAGGGGGTAGACGATGTTTTCCATTGAAATTGGGCTTGAAAGCATCAGCATATTTTAAAATATTCATGGATATGGATAAAAGTTCTTTAAATCTTTTTTTTATGTTTTACGCATGTAAAATTAAACATATGTAATTGATAAAATACACTGTTTTAGTTTTAATCCCCTTCGAAATTGGTGAAAAAATGAGCATTTTTGTGTTGTTGTTGTTTTTTTGTCTGTAAACATATGCCCCCCCCCCCCCCGCGTGAAACACAAAAAGCTTTGGTATGCATTTGTGAAATAACAATCCATATAACCTATAAAAAGGAATTTTTGTTTCACTGGGGGGGGGGGGGAGATGTTTTAAAAATATTTTCCCTTTACCGTTGATTTCTATAGTGAAAAACACAAGTTTTACCAAAATTTTAGAGTTATCTTTCTTTGTTTTCCCAAATAAGTAATATTTTATGAAAATTCTTATAAATATCTATATAAATATGATAAATCATTCAAATATGTTAACTTTTGAAAATTGACTTGGAGGTAGGCGAGAGAACAATACTATCGTTCGCAGTTCTTCCCCTTATTGCCGGAAACATCATGCATTTATCTCCTTTATTCCAGAGCAGCCAGCAATACACACATAGCATTCTGAAAGAAGGTTTTTGTGCATAGTCTGAAGCAAATTTTCATCATTGATATTCTAAGCTCACCAAACAATTATATATTCGCGGAGAGTATATACATTGTTCTTTATAACAAAAAAAAATTACACTGATACCATTTTGTAATATTACATAACAAAGTTGCATTTAAAGTTCCAAAGAATGACACATTTTATGAAAAATTTTAGAAATTAGATTGATAATAAAATCTGCAAAATGTTCTAATTAGAGCTTAGGTACTTGTCTACAGGAAACTTAAGTTTATCTAAATGGTGTATTGTAACAGACAGCTGTCCAAATGATGTCAGCTTCTAGGTAGGTAGATTCTGGACAGCTATGGTAAACCATTAAACTGGCTTTGATGATAAGAAAATGAGGAAAATGTAATTTTTTGTTGTAATTTATGTAAATGGCTTTCTCTGGAGAAACATATTTAGTAATGAAGTTCAAGTTGAACATGCATAATTATCCTCTTTTCTGTGAATTACTCAGGAATTCCAACGGGTGTTGATGAATGTGCATGATTAATGCAAAATTACAACTTTCTGTGTGACCAAATCAAGATAAAAATTCAATTTGAATTTTAATTTTAAAAACCTGTTTTTTATAAACCATTTTTCTAAATTTTACCACGGTTATTAAATATATAGCTGTATTTTCAAGCTAGTACCGAAGTACTTAGCTACTGGGCTGTACAGACCCTCGGAGACTAACAGTCCACCAGCTGAGGCCTCGACCCAGTGGTCATAATGTAAATCATATAGGTACCAACTTTTAGGCACCAGATGCGTATTTCGACAAATTATGTCTCTTCGGTGATTGTCATGCCGATAAAAGCTGGATCTAGTCCAGTGCAGAATAAAAAAAAAACATGTATATATTGAGCCAAGTGTTAGATTATTGTGATCAACACTACATGGTGGCAGCTATGATACTAATATCACAATCTAAATACTGCTGAATAAGAATATTCTCATTTAATATTTTTAACAAATTTGTTTCGAAATCATTGAAATGATTTAGTTTGTGATGCAACAGATAAGTTTATCGTTTACCGTTTAATCTGATTTCACGGATCTAGTTACAAAGAACTTTTTTCTAGCTTAGTGACTCTTGGATAGTGCATTTATGACAGAAACATAATTTCTTTTTGTGTATTTTCTTTAAAGATAATAATCAAAAATAGTTATAATATTGTAACAAAGACTTAAACATGTTTACCATTGTATTACGCGTTTTTGTTCAATCAAGTTCATTGAAACCAAACGTAATGGAATCTCTTATAAAAATAGTGGTTACTGACAAACATTCGATTTTACTTTTCTCAGGCATTTTCTAAGAAAGGAAAGTGAAATAAATAACAGATTAAGATATCATAATAATTTTTATTTCACAAAATTAACCTTATAAATTAAATTTTTAAAGGTGAAATACTGTTATTCATCTGTTGAATTAATTTTAGACATTATAATTTCTGGGGGGGGGGGGGGGAACCTGTTTGTCAACAGCTTGCCTCGTTTTAGAATTTGTTCGTACGTAGAGCATACTCTAACCAACTGGAAGATATAAACCCTATATGCAGGTGATATGGTTTTATTGCCACATACGTAACGGATTGATTGATTGATTAATTGTATGTTGTTTTACGTCCCATTCGAGAATTTTTCACTCATATAGAGACGTCACCATATACCGGTGAAGGGCTTCAGATTTTGACCTTTACTCGGCACTCAAGGAGCCATTGAGCAGAGAGGGATCTTTATCGTGCCAACGCCTGCCATGACGAGGGGCCTCGGCTTTTAAGGTCTCATCCGAAGGACCCGCAACTTTCACTTCAAAGTTCCGAGCGCATGGCGAAGGAACAGTTGCTACCCATTTTTTTTATCGACTTAGGTCAGTCGCGGCCGAGATTCGAACTCACGACCTCCCGATCATGGAGAGAGCGCTCTACCGACTGAGCTACCGTGAACGATCATACGTAACGGAAGTTAACGATTGAAAAGTTAAATTCATCACGTTTTTCATAAAGTTTTATTGCTATGTTGCCTTTAACACTTTTTCTAGTAAAATACCCAATTATGAAAGATACGTAAGACTCTGTGGTATCTTTTAATTCAAGCTCACTGGGATATATCGAGTTGATATATGAATGGAATCAACTATTGTTAATTTTAATTTTCAATCGTCAACTTCCCTAATTTAGCAATACTAGTATACCCTTATCACCTGCAAATGGGATTTATATTTTTCAGTTGATTCGAGCATGGAGCATGCTTTACGTACGAACAATTTATAGAACGAGACAAGCTATTGACAAACAGGTTGATGACACAAGGACATCCAACAGTCTTGTTTGAAGTCAACATTTCGCAAGTTTTATGGTCGATACAATGACCTTGTCAGCAAATACAACCTATCAATGAGTTAAATGCTGACTGAGATTTTTCAGACTTATTGTTAGGCCATTATTTGCTCACTGAATTGTCTACGAATTTTTCTGTTTTTCACGATCGTAACAAGGAGGACAGCATCGGGGATGCTCACTCCTCCATGGCACCTGATCCCATCTCTGATGTTTTGAAAGTACATGCTTGCTCTGCTCCTGATTTGTACTGTTTAAATTGAGTGGAATACTGTTCGTTATCTCCATATTTCATTGATAATACGTCATCGACATATCAGATGAATACTCTTCAGTATTGCCAAATTCCATGTAGAAGATGACGACAACGAAAAGCGACCGATCTCAAAAAATCTATCAACAATACAAATATAGTAAGAAGTCATAAAACACAGACCCCTGGAAATTGCAGAGATTGTAGTAATCCCTGTAATATCAACCTATCAGTGAGTAGCATGCATCACTTGAAAATTGAAATGTCGAGTTGAAGGCCACAGCAAGTGATTTCTTCTTCTCCTGTAAAAGGTTTTGAATTAATTCTGATTCATTTGAATACAAAAATACGTTACAAAATTGGTACGCATACAAATTCTAACAGATTATTGGAAGACCAGTTCTCCAAAAACTACATAGATATTGTCAATCAGAAACTGAATCATCATTTTGATATCAACTTCAGAGTGCTTATGTGAAAAGAGTGTTTTTTATCAGAATAATTTTCCAAATGACCAATGACAAGGTAAGTAAATTTACGAAATAAAGTAGCTGTCAATAGTGTCAAAAAAAAACTGGACTTTGATTTATCATCGGGAACGGTTGTATAAAGTGTTTCTAAAAAAATAGCACGTTTTTATGTTGTTGTTTTTTTTTTTGGGGGGGGGGGGGGTTAAAATTTTGTGATTTCAAATTCTCTAAATTTCCTTGGAATTTTATGTATCCACATCTAATTAACACCAATTCTCGAATATATTGTTTAACAGAACTCTTGCCGTATCCCTCTGATGAAATTAACATTGATAGTACAGAATTGTTTCCCATAGTATTTAGCTATTCTTTTTCAGAGACCTCGTTTAACAAGCTTTTGTTGGACAAGATTCTAGGACAAATTATA